TTTTATAAAAGTATCTCTAAAGGTGGTGGAGAGTGACTACCTTCAGAACAATTTCGCAATATACAACCCTCTCTTGAAAGCTCTTTAACATGAAAACCTCATTTCTCTTTCGTGGAATGAGAGTAACTCAAAGGTATCCTAGTCCCCCAAGAACACAACGAGACTACCATAGCCATTATTCAAATCAGAGCTCTTCGATCCGTGAGTTTGCTTGCTGGCCATTTAGGCCACACATCCTTTACATGGTTCATATAGACGATGCAGTTAACACTCATTTGCTGTGCTTTTGATTTCTGTCAACTCAAGAAAACAGGCCAACTTAGAGGTGTAAAGTTATTCCTTTTAGACTGAGACTACAGTGAACAACATATACTTCTCTCAAGTCTCCATGTTGAATGGTTAGAATTCCTTGCAAGTTACACGTTCAAGTAACTATATCATGTAAGCTGATACAGCATCTCCCCCTTTTGTTTTAGAAGCTCACGCTACTCGTCCTTTTACTCTAGATCTAAGTTTTCCCTTACTTTAAGCTTTGGTTTTGAAAGCCTCTTGTGTCTTGTAGGAAGCCGCTTAGTACTTAAATGTCAGCAATGTCATTCTTGACAGGTGTTTAAATCTTAGTGATCTCTGGCGTAGGCTGGTGCTATTTCTGCTCTGAAAGGGGTGTCTTCTTAACTTTTAACACCGCTTGTAAGTGACTTACAAGTTGACACGATTTCTTCTTATGGTGCGGGTAGGTGTTTTTACCTCGTAAGAGTAAGGGAGGTCAGCAACTTTGACCATGTTGACCATGATTCTGATGTACATTCCTTTGCTGGGTTAAATTGGTGTTAGAGGAAATGTGTTCTCTGCCTGCTGTTAAAAGTTGACTACCTCTTGATATTACTTCATGTTTATTTTGCCCGTGGTAAGTGCAGGTCAGGCCAAGCTGCATGTAAAATGTTGGTACACTTTCTGATCTGCCTTCCCATCCGCAGCTGGTTGAGGGTGAACTGGCATGCTAATGGAGTATATCTGTTAGCGAACAGGCCTTTTGCAGGGTCTTTATTCTTTCGTCAGTGGGTTTTCGACCGTTTGAGCTCCACCCTCAACGTCTTCATTTGATCGAGGGAAAGGTCGGCTGTTCATGCTGTGACTGAATCCCCATTTCTTTGCAAAGTAGGCAAATTCAGAACCTTTGAACTCTGGACCATCGTCAGTTTGGACCCGTTCGGGAATTCTGTGTTTTGGAAATACAGACTTTAGTGCCTGGATGACTTCATTTGACTTTGTTGTTTTTTCCGTGAGTGCTACCTCCACATACCTTGAAAAGGAGTCAATGACTCTTAGATAGTCCATTCCTTTCCGTTCGAAGAGGCATGTGTCCCCGCCTGCAACGGATGATCTGGTAGCAGTATTGCAGTAAGTGGTTCAGATTTGTTGTCTCTGTGTAGCGCGCATAGCCTGCATTGTTGCACAAGGTCCCGGATCTCTCTGTTTATCCCTGGCCACCACACAGAGATATCCTACGCGGATCTTATCGAGGATTCTAATCGCAAATAGGAAGGGATGACTCTCTGGCAACTTTTCAACAGTATGTCTGTGCGACAGAGAGATCACCCTTGTACTACAAGTGGGGGTTTATGGCATGCTTTAGTAAAGACTTGTCAGGCAAGCCTTCATAACAGTGGGCTTTGATCCGCCTACTCAAGGGCTCTTGTGTAGGTGGATAAAGGCTTAGAGTGATGAGCTCTCACTTACGACCTATGCTTTCATCACATCATCATCAATAGTGAACACCGAGGAGTTTGGAGTCTTGCCAGGCATCAACTATGTATATCTTCTTTCCCCAAACGTGAGTGACCTGTTTGGAAATGAAACCTCGTCAAATGCATTCGAATTATTGTTTGAACTTGGGGTGGAAGCTGGTCTAAGGTTGTGAGTGCATAAGAGTGGTACAAGGGGTTTATGATCATTCACATGCAAATTGCCTTTCATAATTTATTTCCATGACTGCTTACATGCCCGTGTCAGGGCAAGAGCTTTCTTTTTGATCTGTGCGTACCTGGCTTCGCGGTAGGAGTTATGGCTCACGATATGAATGAAATAGATTTTCGGGTGTTTTCCTCTTGGAGCTGGTCAGGAGAACTATTTCACCAATTCTATAATTTCTTTTAATTTGTTATGATCGTACGAAGCCAGCACTCGGGCTTGCGTAGAGTCAGCTTTGTTTTTCGTGAAGGCTCTTTGCTGTTTTGGTCACCATGTCCTCTGGTTTTCCTTTTCCCGGATGCTCTTTGTCCTGTGTGTTAGGTGAGCTGAAAACTTGCTAAGTTGAATGGTCATGCCGAGAAAGGGAAGATTTTGAAGTCACCCTAAAAAATAAGGAAGATGTTTACAAAACTGTAGGTGAACTAAGGTAATTATAAATTATTCAGTTTTATTAATCATGGTGCTCTGCAGGTAGCCAAAAGCAAGGGGTGTGTTGAGGATATCAGAACATTTATACAGAATTAGAAGGGTGTTTCATGACAGTCAAAGTTAGAGGCTTGAGGAATGCATATAGACAGGAGTCAAAATTAATGGAGGAGTAGCTGTTTAGCAGTTGTTGCTTCAACTGTCACTAACAGCTATAGTTATTTATTTTTAATGAAGCACTTATTTGTTGGTTATTTTTCATTCGTTCTTTCCTTTGTTCATTCAAAAGCTGGAGCAATGTAGAGTTTTCACAGCATGCAAAAATGAAAGCAAGAAGGAAAGAAAATGTCCAAATATCTCAGTATTGTTCATCATTTCCAGGAACATGATGGAATCCTATGTGATAATAGTAAATATTACCTAGCACGT